GTGATTCTCCTGCCTCTGCCTCCCAAGTAACTGGGACTACAGGCACCTGCCACAACGCCTGGCTATTTTTTGGTTGCAGCCGTCGTTGTTTGGTGGCCTGGGCTGGATTCGAACCTGCCAGCTCAGGTGTATGTGGCTAATGCCTTAGCTGCTTGAGCCACAGGCACCAAGCCAAGAATTGTTTTTTTTTAATTGAGATAGACTCTTAGTTTGTTGCCCTTGCTGTAGTGCAGTGCTGTCATTAAAAGCTCACAGCAACCTCAGACTCCTGGGCTCAAGCAATTTATCTTGTCTTAGCCTCCTGAATAGCTGGAACTACAGGCACCCATCACAATTCCCAGCTATTTTTTTTTTTTTTTTTTAGAAATGAGGTCTTGCTCTTGCTCAGGCTGGTTTTAAACCTTTGAGCTCAGACAGTCCACCCACCTCAGCCTTCCAGAGTGCTGGGATTACAGGTGTGAGCCTGCAAGCCTAGCCCAAGGCCAGAGTTTCAACCTCCAGCTCTTGGGCTTAAGTGATTCTTTTGCCTTAGCCTCCCTAGTAGCTGGGACTACAGATGCCCACCACAGTGCCCAGCTATTTTTTTATTGCAGTTTGGCCAGGGCCAGGTTCGAACCTGCCACCCTCAGTATATGGGGCTGGTTCCCTACTCACTGAGACATAGGCACCATCCTAGAGTTGTTCCCCCTCCCCCACAAGTCTTTTTTTTTTTTTTTTTTTTTTTTATTGAGATAGAGTCTTGCTCTGTTACCCTGACTAGAGCACAGTTTGGTCATCATAGCTAACAGCAACCTCAAACTCCTCAAGTGATTGCCTGCCTCAGCCTCCTGAGTAGCTAGGACTATAGGCTCCTACCCCACCCAACTAAGTATTCTATTTTTTGCTTTGTTAGGCTGCTCTTGAACTCCTGACCTCAAGTGATCCTGCCTCCTTGGCCTCCCAGAGTGCTAGGATTATAGGTGTGAGCCACCACACCCAGCTGAAGACTGACTTTTCTAGTAGCTGTGTTGGATATTGATAAGGGGCAGGATAAACTGACATTTGACCAGAGCTTATAGTTAATTCTCTAGGCAATCATAATCATTGATTAGAAGAGGAAGGGTCAATGCTCAGTTGTAGTTTAAAAATAAAAAAGGACTCGGCACCCATAGCACAGTGGTTATGGCGCCAGCCACATATGCCAAGGATGGCAAGTTTGACCCCGGCCTAGACCAGCTAACCAACAAGGACAACTGCAACAAAAAATAGCCGGTGTTGTGGCAGGCGCCTCTAGTCCCAGCTACTTGGGAGGCTGAGGCAAGAGAATCCCTTAAGCCTAATAGTTTGAGGTTGCTGTCAGCTGGGATGCCACGGCACTCTACCAGGGGCAACATAGTGAGACTCTGTCTCCAAAAAAATAATAAAAATTAAAAGAAATAAAAAGAAGGAACTACAAAGGGTACTGGTCAGGCAGCAGTAGGGAGGATGGGGAGGAAAGGAGGTGGCAGAAAGATCTATGGTGGAATTAACAGTCAGGCAACCCCACAGCTACCGTGTTTCCCCGAAAATAAGACTTACCCCAAAAATAAGCCCCAGTAGGATTTCTGTGCATTTGTTAAATATAAGCCCTACCCTGATATACGACCTAGTGATGGGCGTGGCTCTGCAGCATATCATACGCCACGCATTTTGACTCAGAGACATCCTCTGAAAATAAGCCCTACCTAGTATGTCTTCTTGAGAAAAAATAAATATAAGACAGTGTCTTATTTTCGGGGAAACACAGTACTAACATGGAAGAGGCATGTCTACAGGATAGGTATGTCCATCATCTGGTGATGGTGGGGAAGGAGTGAGAGAGAGGAGACAGGATCACTGTTGAGTGCTTTATCTGTGACACTTACACTGAGAGTATTATGTGAGGCTTGAAAGAGAGGCTGGTGGGGTGCCACCTATGGCTCAAAAGGGTAGGGCACCAGTCCCATATGCTGGAGGTGGTGCGTTCAAACCCAGCCTTCAGTCCTTGTCTTCCCTTTGATTGCCTGTGTCCTCCCACAGAACTCATCATCTTTATGGAGATCTTCAGGGGCCCCTGAGACACTGCAGAGAGTGTCAGGGATTTCCTTCCCCACAGCAGAGTCGCTGAGAGCCTGGGAAGAATGGAGAGAAAAGGCAGAGCTGCAGGACCACCGGCGCATTGGGAAGGTGCAGAGACTGGGAGATAGGGAAGGGGCAGTTATTAGGGCTAGAGAGAGAGAGGGAGCTGTTGTGAAGTTGGGAGTAGATTCAGTCAAACAGCCCAGGCAGCTCCATCAGTTTCTTCTGGATTCCAAATGCCACTTCTCTCCCTTTGAAGTGACCCTTGTCCTTCTTAACCCCAGGAGCAGGAGCTGTTCTTCTTCCATGAACTGAGCCCCGGGAGTTGCTTCTTCCTGCCACGAGGAACACGAGTGTATAATGCACTGGTAGCATTTATCAGGGTAAGAGGGACACAAATCCAGGGGAAAGAAGACCAGGGAGGGCTGAGGGTTTAGAAGAAGCTAAGGTGTCAAAGTTAAAAGAGGGTGGCGATGGGCAGTGCCTGTGGCTCAGTGAGTAGGGTGCCAGCCCCATATACCAAGGGTGACAGGTTCAAACCCAGCCCCAGCCAAACTGAAAAAAAAAAAAAAAAAATAGCCAGGCCTTGTGGTGGGTGCCTATAGTCCCAGCTACTCAGGAGGCTGAAAAAAAAAAAAGGGTGGCAAGTCCCATGAAATCCAGCAGTTAGGAAAAGAAAAAGAAAAAGAAAAAACAAATAATTAAATAGGAGAGAGGAGTTGGAAGCATAAACATAAATATTGTAAAGTGCTGGCGACCTTTAGCAATTGTGTGGTCTGCAGTGGAGGAACATAGAGATGGGACATGGTATTAATTGGTTGTGTCTCTGAGCAGCATGGCCTTAAAGCTCCAGGAGAGTCACAGGTGCCAGCCTGCCGCTTCTCTTTCCAGTTACTCTGACCTTCTGTGTCTGTGCCCTCCACAGGAGGAGTATGCTCATCGTGGTTTCTCAGAGGTGAAAACTCCCACGCTGTTTTCTACAAAACTCTGGGAACAGTCAGGGCACTGGGAGCATTATCGGAAAGACATGTTTGCCCTGCAGCCCCCAGGCTCTGACAGGCCCACCAGCTCCCAGAGTGACTGCCCTACCAAGCATCCCAAAGACACACTTGCCCTCAAGCCCATGAACTGCCCTGCACACTGGTGAGCTGGGAACCAAGAGGCCTGGGTCCTCCTGGGGCTAGGGTTACAATCAAACTGCTAAAAAGTAATAGCACCTTGGTGGCCCCTCTGGCTCAAAGGAGTAGGGTGTGGGCCCCATGTGCCAGAGGTGGAGGGTTCAAGCCCAGCCCTGGCCAAAAACTGCAAAAAAATAAAAAAAATAAAAAAATAAAAAGGTAATAGGGCCTTAGAAAGAGGATTGGGACACCTGATTTGAGTCTTGAACCTGCCCTCTAGCTAACCATTTGAACTTGAGAAAGTCATACCTCTTTAGGCCTCAGTCTTCTTAACAAGTAACAGCAAGGATTTGAAGTTGCTATCAAGTTTCCTCTAAACCAGCAGTTCTCAACCTGTGGGTCGTGACCCCTTTGTAAAATACATCATGGCATTAGGAAGGTTGACAACCACTTCTCTAAACCATCACAGAACAGAGGCTCAGTAAATGGTGTCTGTTACTGCATTACTGGGAAATTCACTTTTAAGTGAGGCAGAGCTTGGACTGTGATGAGTGGGGTTAACAGGACTCCATGGGAAAAGGGTGTTAGCTGGCTCGGCGCCTATAGCTCAGCCGGCTAAGGCGCCAGCCGCGTACACCTAAGGTGGCAGGTTCGAATCCCCAGCCCGGACCCGCCAAACAACAATGA